TTTCTTGCCACGGTTTTTAAGTGAGTCACACAGTTGTTGAGTGACTCTGACTTCCCCACTGAGTTTGCTTGTCAGGAAGGTCCCAAAAAGCAATCACCTGACCCTGGGACATTCCAGCCATCATAAATATGAGCCAGTTGCTGAGCATTCGAACTTTGATCCCATGACCCTGGGGTCATAAGTGTGAAAAACGTCCACAAATTGCTTTTTTTCCAGTGCCATCAGAACTCGGAAGAGTCCTTAAATGGATTGTTGTATGTCACATTTCTTGCTTTCTGGCTGAACTATCTCTCCGAATGGGTGTTGGTCCTTCTATTTTATTTATGGTGGTTGCCTTTTCGTTCTGAAATAATTCCATTTATGCTGAGGGAGATTGCCTGTTCTTCACGATGCTGTAATAATAGAGGCAATATAAAACATTTTTTTCTCTCTTCAGTCTGTGAAACTTTCTAGCTTTGAGATAAATGAAAGGCCAGGGCCGTAAACCACGAAGTTGCTTCGTTCCCCAATTTGTTTGCTGTCCTAGGACAGTGACAGCTAACCTTTTTGTTGTTGTGTGCCGAAAATTGGACACACAAGGAATTTGTCTTGGTGCAGATGCTCTCAGTGTACATAAAATAAAAGATACATTCATTAAGAATCAAGAATCATCAGGTCCAACACTTAATAATAGTCATAGGGTACAATCAACAATCTAATCATACTAGGAAACAGTCAATATAAAAATAAATAAATAAAATTAAAAAATGCATGCATGTGTACGCGCATGCCTCCCTGCACCCATAATGTAATGCGTGCACGACTACAGCGCTCCCCCTGCGCATGTGCGCACGATCCCCCCGTGTGACCCCCGCCTCCCTGCACATGTGCGCATGATCCCCCCCATGTTCCCCCGCCCCCTGCACATGCCTGCGTGAGCCACCCACACTACTGCCCTCCCTACGCATGCACATGCATCTCCTGCATTCACCCTGCGCATGCGCGGCAGATACCCGAAAATCACTTGGCTGGCGGGAGGCACATGCACAGTAGAACTGAGCTGGGCTGACGGCCCATGTGCCGGCAGAGATGGCTCTGCGTGCCACTTCCAACACACGTGCCATAGGTTCGCCATCACGGTCCTAGGATGTTGCTCGCCCTTTTCTTTATCCTGCGACCTTTTGTAAAGTCCTGGTTAATCCTTGCAACTTCACCTTGTCCCCTGTTGCCTGGATGGCAGGCTGATGTTAACACATGTGTGGGAAAGGGCGGGATTCGGTCTCAGCCCTCCCAGACTGAAGTTCACACAAACGGCCCCGTTCGGTTGCAGGGGCTCCTGGTTGCTACTCAGCTTTTGACCCTTGTTGTGTAAGTTGACATAACCGTACAGGTGTGTCCTCTCCGGCTTTTGTTACGAACAAAAAAGGTAGTCCTCGACTTAGCGTCCACCAGTTTTCTTGCTAAGCGAGACATTGGTGAAGTGGGTTTTGTCCCCATTTTATGGCTTTCCTTGCCTCGGTTGTTAAGCGAATGGCTGCGGCTCTTAAGTAAGTAACCTGGTTGTTAAGTGAATAGGGCTTGCCCTATTCTGACTGCTCGTCAGAAGGTCGCAAAAGCAGATCACGTGACACCCCCCCCCCCAGGACGCTGCAACCGTCATAAATATGAACCAGTTGCCAAGCATCTGGATTTTGATCACCTGACCCCCGGGATGTTGCCACGGTCGTAAGTGTGAAAAATGGTCATAAGTGCCTTTGTAACTTTGAATGTTCCCTAAACGAGCTGTAGTAAGTTTACCTGTACTACCCCTGTAGGTGTCTACCTGCAATTCGTCAGGTGTTGCAGAACTAGTTTCCTGACAGAACAATTATCAGTGGAACAACTTGCCTCCAGAAGTTGCAAATGCTCCAACACTGGACATTTTTAAGAGGAGATTGGACAACCAATTGTCTGAAATGGCATAGAGTTTCCCGCCTCAGCAGGGGGTTGGACTAGAAGACCTCCAAGGCCCCTTCCAACTCTGTTATTCCGTTCTATGAATACACTTTTTGGGGGGACAAAGCACTGGAGGGTACAGTGGCTATCCAGTTTAGAGCAGACTTGATAAGGTAAAGGTTCCCCTTGCACATCCATGCTAGTAGTTTCTGGCTCTAGGGGGCGGAGATGTGATGCAGAGGACCCCGAGGAGTCTGTGCCCAGAACACATGCGCGCAGGGCTGCTCGAAGGAAAGAGCAGCTGCAGCAGCACGGGTGACTCGGGAGTAAGGCTGCAAGGTGATGGCCGCTCCCTTAAGGGATAAAAGCCAGCCCTCAAAGGTGGGATTCTTTGCAGGAAGCAATGAAGTTCTTGCCCTTCAAGTTTTGTGGAAGTTCGGACTATCCCGGTTTGTGTTTGGAGACTTGGTTCTGAATATTTCAGTGCAATTTAATCTGGTGTTCTTGGCAGCCTTGCACAACCTTGTTCTTATCTGGGACAATTAGTTTTAATAACAGTTTTACACTGAATGAATGAAATTCACAGAGAAGCATTAAAAAATTTTGCTTTTATCTTTGTTTGGTGTTTGTTTGCTTGGAATGAGGCATGGGTCAGAACAACAAACAAACAACCCCAATTACTGTGGGAGTCTTATAATTCAGTGTTTGCTCCTTGTTACTACCTTAACCAAATCTGCTTATCAGAAAGCCTTATCTACATTTGAGACTGGCCGTAAGTCGGCAGGACGTTAATCCTGGACGTTGAAATCCATCCATTTTAAAAGGGGTTGGGGATTGGGAGATGCGGGTTTAAGGCCCACTGTACATCACGAGAGAGACCTGCAGACACAAATTCCTCCTCTTCCCCCCACCCCACCTCACCCCCAAACCAATCCTTGTAATCATGTCACTGTCGAACGTATCTCAAAAGACATCATAAATATAATCGAGGGCAGGTTGGCCTCTTTATACAGGATGCCGCCTGCATTTATCGGAGCGGTTAATATTAACTATTAATGTCAACATGGCGTGCTGTTGCTACTCCGGGGCTTTCTCGGGAGGGAGAGCAGTGTTTTGCTGATATTCAGGATGTCGTCCCCAAGTGACAATGTGTGGGTTGCCTGTTTGGGTCTTCACATATGTGTTGTGGTTCGCTGGCAGCCGATGCATCCGTTAGTGGAGTCGGACAGAGAAGAAGAAAGGGGACCAGTCGGAGTCTGGGGATGCCTCGGACGAGGGTCCTGCGTCAGATACAGGGATGGGGCCAGGACTATCTGGGAGTGGGGTGCTGCCTTCGGGGCCTTTGGAGTCTGGCAGCAGCGAAGCGGAGGACCCAGGGGAGCCTGTTCCAAGTGGGCATGTGCGTAGAGCTGCTAGAAGGCAAGAGCAGCTGAAACAGGAGGGGCGACTCGGAAGTAAGGCCGGGAGGTGATTGCTCCTCCCATAAGGGATAAAAGTCAGACCTCAATGACGAAGTCTTTGCAGGAAGAAAAGAATTTTGATAGATTTCAAGTCCTCCTTGAAGCTCTGTGTATACTGGTTGGTTTTTCTTGGTACTTCGGGTGGTTTCTGTTATAATTAATTTGGATACTTCTGTTTTTGGCAGTGTTCCACAGCACTGAAAGGCGTGTGCTTATCTTGGGGAACTGTTTAAGATTAGTTCTGGCTGGAAATGAAAGTAATTTCCGGTGTTGCATTAAAATAGGTTTCGCTTCTAAAACAAGTTTGTGTTTCATTACATTTGACGAAGCTTGGGTCAGAACAGTCTGCAGCCTGAAATTATGGTTCGGCCCCCATCTTAACTGCCCCGTGTAATCTGCTAAACCAGTGGTCCCCAACCTTCCTGGTTTTATGGATGGCGGAAGTAGGGAGAGACAAAATGGTTCTGTGAGAGCAGCAGGCGTTCATGTTTGCCGCTCACAAAATGGAGCTTTATGTGTGCACACAAGTACCCACTGCTTGCATGGCCTGGTTCTGAACAGGCTGTGGCCCATTGGTGGGCTGCAGCCCAGGAGTTGGGGACCCCTGTGCTAAACTGTCCTAATCAACAAGAAAATGAGGGGTTCTTGATGTTCTCTTGGTTGTTTTTTTTGCAGACGTTTCATTACCCATTTGGATAACATCATCAGTGCTACATCCTCATTTAGCACTGATGATGTTGCCCAGTTGGGTAATGAAACGTCTGCGAGGAAACAACCCCACCCCCATTTCAACCCTGAGCTACAAATATTCTCATTTTATCAGCAACAAGGAAGTTGTTTGCACACTGCCTGTGTTTGAAGTGTACTCCATGTCCTTCCTCTCTCACCATCGATCATTTGCGTCTAAATCTATCAGCCTTCGAGGTAAATCAGGTCAGGAAACAGGCCCGGCAAGAAATACTAGATCCCTTATTTTATTGATTCAGCTGATCGTCTTTGACTTAGAACCATTCGCTTAGCAACCACTCGAAGTTAACTGGGGCAAAGAAGAAGCAGAATCAGACATAACAAGTTTAAGAACCGCCTTGATAAGCAATGGAAATTGTGATTGTAAATTGAGGACTATCTACGGTACCAATTCTGTGAAAGCCTCTGACATCATTTCCCCTTCCTTTCCTCTTAGACCAAAGAGCATCAAGATGGGGCCATCTTGAGTTTCTTCCTCACCCTTTTCCTTTTTTTTCTTGGGCAACTTATTTTCTTCAAGGCCGTCTCTCCCAATACCTCCAGGCTCCTCCTCACCTCGGTTTTTCTTCTTTTCCGTTTCTGTGCCGCAGAACAGATGGCCCAAGAGAACCTGGGGGTGGCAGGAGTATTAAACAGCTGCCTCTTCCAGCCTGTTGTTTCTCTCCTACCAATGTATCACGAGGTTAAGGCTGGCTTGGGATTTCCTTCCGGGCCCTCAGATGCATTTTTTTAATAGGACGGGACATAAAAACTCCCACCGAGTTTGATTAAAATGCTTTCTGAGTAAGCCTACAAAAAGCCACAGAGAAAAGTCTTCCCCCTTTCCTCGTGGTTATATAATTTTGCTAACTCAGCTCTTTTTTTATTATTATTATTCAGCCTTCACGAAGAAATCAATGACTTCTACAAGTACATGTCTCCTCGACCCGAAGAAGAAAGGATGCGGATGGAGGTGGTGAACAGGATAGAAAACGTAATAAAGGAACTCTGGCCCAATGCGGATGTAAGTTTGGCAAACTTTAACTCAGTCGCTGAAGACTTTGCTGTTTCTTGTACAATGGTTGTAGACTTTAGATGGCGTCCAACGTATTAAAGACAGAAACGCTACCATTCTGCAGTTTTTTTTAAAAAAAGAAAACCATGCAATCTTTATTGTACATTTGCATAACTTCAGTCTGCTCTGGTTTACATTTTCGTCTCAGTCACCCAGGGATCAGGGGGAAGAAACTCTTATCGATAAAGAGACTTCCAGGTTTCCTTGTCCAATTAACCTGCAAGATTGATGCCCTAAATCTTGGGCACTTTAAGACTTTGTGGACTTCAACTCCCAGAATTCCCCAGCCAGCCATGTCAAACAATATCAGCAGGAAGTAAGTTTTCGGATGAGTTTGCACCTTGTATTAAACCAGGGGTCTCCAACTTTGACCCCAGCGTGGCTGGCTGAGGAATCCTAGGGCTTGAAATCCTCAACTCTTAAAATGGGCCAGGTTGGACACTCCTGCCATGAAACTGTTGCCCGTTCTAGATCAGCCAGTCTCTTTGGACTTTCAGATTCCGTTTCCCTCTTGCATTCCTGACTGGTCCATTCCCCTCAACAATTCATCGTGTGGGAAGGGAGACCAGAAAGAAAGAAAGGGAAAGGGAACTGGAACCCTCCCAACATAACCTTATAAAGCAAACACATCGCTGACATTTTTTGGCTCCGATGAGCTTTGGAGCCAGATCAGTGACCGAAATAATTTGCCAAAGGGCAACGTGTAAACCATGTAAGCAAAGTTCACAGACCACAAAGGCCTCCTCTGCATTCAGCTTGGATGCTTCTGAAAAACCCAACAAAGGGGGTTGACAAACCAAATCTCCACACAGCAGGAAAGACCGCCGCCATGGATGTGCTTAGCTTTTTCCTTTTCCCTCCAGCTGCATTTGTGGCATGGATCTAAAACTGGAAGCAAAAAAAAAAACCCAAACCTAACCTCAGTCATCTGTTTACATCTGCAAAATGTCCATTGGCAGGTTCATCATAGTTCATCTGAAAAATCAAGAGTCCCGTAAGAAAAACCATTTAAGAACGTCTGTGAGCTTAGCCTTTTGAACGATAAAAGAAGGGCTTAGCCTTCAGCATGCTTTTCTTAAAAGTATTTATAGAAGCCAGCAATTGTGTCATTTCTCTGTTACTCCGGGGAATGTGCTTAGACACAAACATTCCTAGTAAGTGAGAAGCGTTCTTGGCATCGTCCGGGCTTCACTATTAGGGAGATGGTGAGAGGCTTAAATTATCCTGGAACCAGGGATCACACAGCTGCCATGAAGGAAGGAAGCGACTTAGATCTCACTTTTGAAAGAAGAAAGCCAGCCCTTCTTTAAAAGTACGGAGAGTGTGCAGTTCCCATCAGTGTGAAAACTTTCTTGAATAAGCCTTCACTGCACTTATTGAGCCGGGGTGGCGTAGTGGTTTAGAAAGCAGTCCCAAAGGTGCTTTTTTTCTGGAGGCAACTTTCTGGAGTTGTTTTTCCTTTTGAAGACGTTTCACTTCTCATCCAAGAAGCTTCTTCAGCTCTGACCGGATAGTGGGGAACGGAAGGATTGATATTCTTCGCAGACCGCTGGTCATTTGTATTCTGAGAGAGTGGTTGAGGCCACTTGGAGGTTTACCTGCGTCCTCAGCGTCACCTGAGTAGCGCTTTTAGCTATACAATTTGGGATGAACACCCTTTGAATGGTGTTGGGAGTAGGAAGGGATTTCCAGAAGGAAAAAAAAATGCAGACTACAGGAACCAGGAGCATTACTCAGGTGGTCTGAGGACACAGGTAAACCTCCAAGTGCTTCAGTGATGCAAATGACCAGCTGTCTGCAAGAAATATCAATCCTTCCATTCTCCACCATCCAGTCAGAGCTGAAGAAGCTTCTTGGATGAGAAGCGAAACGTCTTCAAAGAGAAAAAAACAAGGAAGTCCAATTGCCTCCTGAAAAAAAAAAAAAGCACCTTTGAGACAACCATGATCTGGATGACTGAGAATCTCTACAGACTGTTGGAATGCAGTATTGCTGGCTAACTCTGCCCACAACCAGGAGTTCGATCCTGACCGGCTCAAGGTTGACTCAATCTTCCATCCTTCTGGGTAAAAGGAGGACCCAGATTGTTGGGGGCAAGAGGCTGACTCTGTAACCTGCTTAGAGAGGGCTGGAAAACATTGTGAAGCGGTATATAAGTGCTTAAGTGCTATTGCTGTTGCCTGGGTGGGGTATGCAAATCTGAAAATGAGGGTCATCTGGAGAATGCTTGTCCCAGAGATTCTGTCCCAGGTCCATCATAAAGATAAAGAGATTAAGGAGCTTCAGACAAGTAATAGCCAGAGATTTTGCTAGGAGTTGTGGAAGCGCCTGCAACGAGCAAAGTTGTCTGCAAATTTTGAAAGCTCTCTGCTTAACAAAGCCTGGCTTAGTAGCAAACAAATATCCACGAGTGGACGCAGCTGAGAAGACACTGCAAAATATCTGAATGTAGATTCGGTTTGTTCTCCTACAGCTGTGATGGCGAACCCATGGCACGCGTGCCAGAGGTGGCACGCAGAGCCATTTGTGCCGGCATGCGAGTTGCAGGCAAACTTACCTCACTGCGCATGCGCGTGTGCCTCCCAGCTGATTTTCGGCTGGTTTCGAGGCCTTTTTCAGCCTCCCAAAGGCTTGAGGGAGGCTTCTGCAGGCTTTGCAGGCCGAAAACTAGGCCCGTTTTGTCACCTCCTGTTTTTCCGGAAATACCGGAAGTGACGAAACGGGCCTAGTTTTCGGCCTGAAAAACCTGCAGAAGCCTCCCTCAAGCCCCTGGGAGGCCAAAAAAGGCCTCAAACCGGCCGAAAATCAGCTGGGAGGCACAACGCAGGTAAGGGGTGGGTGGGGATTGCGCATGCGTGGGGGGACACGCATTGCTTTCTGGGTGCTGGCACGCGAGCATGCAAGTGCGCGCACAATTTTTGGCACAGAAGCCCAAAAAGGTTAGCCACCACTGTCCTACAGCAAATGGATAATTAAATGAAGCCACGGATAAACTTAAAACAGATAATGGCTTCATTCTCTGGTTTCTTTTTGTCAGAGAAAGCCAGAAACATACATTCAGGCAGGACATTCATTAAATGCCTGCTTGCTTATGGCTTAGCTTGAACTCTAGATTAATCCTATATACTGGATGATCTAAAAAAAACTCTACGTTGAGGGCAACAACTGTCTGCATTGCTGCTAATTTTTTTTTACTCTTATGATAAAAGTTTTTAATATGTGTGCTCGGATTTTCTTCTCCCTCCCCCCAGGTGCAGATATTTGGAAGTTTTAAGACTGGTTTATATTTACCTACTAGGTTAGTAAGTTTTATTTATTGCATTTGCATTTTATCTTTCCTCCAAGCAACCCTTTTGAGTACAGGTAGTTCTCATTTGGCAATTGTTCCCGGTTATGGAAAAAGTAACTTTATGACTCACCCCCACAGCTAGGTCCTTCACGGGTCTGTAAAGCAAAAGAAAACTGAAGTAAGATTTTCTTGTAAGCTCTTAGATCTAGAATGTTAGAACAGAATAGAGCTGGAAGGGACCCTGGAGGTCTTCTAGTCCAGCCCCCTGCTCAAGCAAGAGAATATACTAGTGGCTGTCTAATTTCTTCTTTAAAATCTCCAGTGATGGAGGGCCCACAACTTCTGTTGGCAAGCTGTTCCACTGCTTAATTGTCCTCACTATTAGAAAGTTTCTCCTTAATTCCAGGTTGCTTCTCTCTTTGGTTAGTTTCCAACCATTGTAAGATCTTGTGTCTAAGTAAGATCTTAAAACAATTGTGGTTTCATTTAGAGACTGCGTCACTTAAACGAGTTGCCAATCCCAATTGTGGTCACTAAATGAAGTCTATATTTGCCCCCCCATCTGCCTTCCTCCTCCCCAATTTATTCCTAGGCTTATCTCGTACTAACAACATCTGACTGGAACAAACTGGAAAATGAATATTTGAGGGTTATGAAAAGGCCCTTGGCCCAGCAAGGCTGAGATCAGTCATCTGGCAGATTTATACGTCTAGGACAGGGGTCTTCAAAGTTGACAGCTTTAACACTTGTGGCCTTCAACTCCCAGAATTCCTCCTCCAGTCATGTTAGCTCAGGAATTCTGGGAGTTGGAAGTCCACAAGTCTTAAACTTGTCAAGTTTGAAGACCCTTGGGGTAGGGTGAGGGAATGCACTAATGTTTCCGTAACTCAGAGACCAGGGAATAGCCTTCGTTAAGTGCCAAAGGGCATCTGAAGCAGGTGCCCCTTAGCAGGAAAGCTTGGGATATTTTGTACGAGATAGTACGCTGATCCTTCTGCAGAAATCTATCCATTCTGATTCCAAAACGCATCCGAACAAAGTTTTAACCTTCTGCCTTCTCATTCCAGCGATATTGACTTAGTGGTGTTTGGAAAATGGGAGACTTTGCCACTGTGGACCCTGGAAGAAGCACTTCGAAAGCACAACGTGGCTGACAAAGGTTCAGTGAAGGTTTTAGATAAAGCCACTGTAAGTTAATTCGGGGTGTGTGTGTGTGTGTGTGTGTGTGTATGCACCTGTAGCACGTGGGGTGGTTTCCTCCCCAAAAGTAACTTGGGAAACAGATAACAGATAATCAGAGTTGGAAGGGACCTTGTAGGTCATCTAGTCCAACCCCCTGCCTACACCATTTCTGACAAATGGCAGTCCAATCTCTTCTTGAAAGTCTCAAGTGATGGCGCTTCCACAACTTCCGAGGGCAACTTCTGTTCCATTGGGTGATCGTTCTCACAACATCCCACAGGGGAGCCTGTACTTTGTCTAGAATGGTATAGTTAGCCATCACTGCTATAGGGTCTCCTTCTTAATCAGAGAGGTTGGACTAGAAGACCTTCAAGATCCCTTCCAACTCTGTTATTCTGTTAACCTCCACTTAATAAATTTGTTATTGAACAGGGCCGCCACAGTTCAAATCTTCACCTAACAACGGACAGCTCTGATATTTCAGATTCTGTCCTGACAATTGATATGATTTGCCTCAAGTCACATGTTGTGTGTAATTATATATAATGGATGGCTTTTCATCTTTTGTCTCAGTTTGTCATTGGACATGAACCGATGCAAAATAGATAAAGAGAAAAAAAAGGTGCACGTTAATTTCAGTAGTGCAAATTACATCAATAAACATGGATTCGGCGGGCCCCATTTCCCTCAGTTAAATTAAGATTTTGACTCCTAGCCTTTTTAAATTTTTTTTTGAAACATCGCTCTTTTTTTAAAAAAAAAAATGGGATAAAGAATAATTAACTTCTGTGATGTTTTCCCAATTATCTGTTCATGTTTAAAAGCAGATGTTTTGAGTGTGTATCTCATTCTCTCAGCTTCGTATTAACGGCCTGGCCTCTCCACGCCACAGACAGGGAATTAAGTTTAAAATTTTAATTCAGTTCAGTTGTATAAAAATATGTGTATGCCTGTCCATAAAAGTCGGCTCATTTTTCAACTTGGCTCACAGTGCAGAATTCTGCTCATGAGTCTGAATTGAGTAGAAGAGCTAATTCATTCAAATTGTCCTCAAATCAAAGCTTTGGATCTAAGAATCTATTAAAGTTGTCCAGGTCATGGTTGTGCCAAAGGTGCTTTTTCAGGAAAAATCTGGAGTTTCTTGTTTTTTCTTTGAAGAGGTTTCGCTTCTCATCCAAGAAGCTTCTTCAACTCTGACATCCATTCCCCACCATCCTGTCAGAGCTGAAGAAGCTTCTTGGATGAGAAGCAAAACCTCTTCAAAGAAAGAAACAAGTCCAGTTGCCTCCAGAAAAAAAGCACCTTTGGTTCTTTGGATCTAAGCAGAGGTCAAATCCCTAAATTCTGATTGGTTTAATTTCCAAGGCGTTCTGCATCAAACTAAGACTAATTCTTTATCAGAAAAGCTTTATTTATTTTTTTAAGGACAAAAGATGCTTTTTCCCCTCTTTCTTCAGGTTCCTATCATTAAACTGACAGACTCCTTTACTGAGGTAAAAGTGGATATCAGCTTTAATGTACAGAATGGGGTAAAGGCTGCCTATCTCATCAGAGATTTTATTAAGGTCAGTTGATGATGAAGGTAAACTTCGTTTCCCCTTGCTTTATGAAATGCTCACGCTGTACAGGTAGTCCTTGACTTACAACAGATTCATTTAGTAACCGTTCGAAGTTACAACAACACCGAAAATAGTGACTTAATGGCCACTTTTCGCAGTTACAACCTTTGTAGCATCCCCAGGATTATGTGATCAAAATCCAGAGGCTTGGCAACTGTAAATAAAAATCCATACAAACCACAGCTGCAGCAATTAACTGGACAGGGCAGGAGAAGGAATCGCAGACTTCAAAGGCCAACAAAACACACACAGTTGGGAAGACGTCAGGAACCCAGATAAGCCTCGACAATAAAAGATAACTCACAATTTGCTTCCAACACGTTGCTGTGCGCAACCTCCCTTTTTAAGCACTGTGTTCCCAGCTGCAGCTAATGAAGGGAATCAGGGCCCTTTCCTCCCCCGTAAGCCACACAACCCACGTTGCTCCCTTCTCCGTTCTTCCCTGCATGTCCTAGGATGAAGAGGGAGTGGGCCTGGATCTTCCTCTGAATTCCCTTTCCCTTGTTCTACCTCTCTCCTGCTCTGCCCAGCCGAACTTTGCCCTTCCCCAGTTTCTTCCACCGCCAGCGGAGCCACATTCCCACTCCCTGTCAGCTGCTCGACCTCCCCCTCCGAATCAGATTCTGACAGGGGCACAACAACATCCCTCTTTTTAATGTTGCACTTCTGCTGCTTTACTTGAGTCTAAAGCCAAGTATGAAAAAAGACCACAGGAAAGAGGAACTTTTAAAACTTTGTCTAATATGAGGTGTGCGTCCAAGCAGTTCCTATCATTTGGGAAAGATGTTTCACTTCACAAATGTTTCACTTAGCAACAGAAATTCTGGGCTCAATTGCAGCCATAAGTCGAGAACTACTTATACCATCTCACGTACGGGTAGCCTTGACTTACAAGAGTTCATTTAGTGACGGTTCTAAGTTACAATGGGAAAAAAAGTGATTTATGGCCGTTAATTCCCCATGGTCACCTGATCCAAATTCGGTTGCCTGGCAATTGCTTCATTTTTATGACGGTTGGAGGTCATGTGACCCCCTCTTGCGACCTTCTGACAAGCAGAATCAATGGGGAAAACCAGATGCATTTAACAACTGTGACTAAACAACTGCAGTGATTCACAACTGTGGCAGCTCCTAAAATGGGGCACAATTCACTTAGCAACAGAAATTTTGGGCTCAATTACAATCATGAAGTTCAGGATTACCTGTACTCTGATAAGTATTTTAGTCCCTATTTCTTGCTTTTATCTTTTTGTTTTAACAGCAGAGCTAGATTAGCTGTTGGATTAGCTAAGTTCCTAACGAAAATAATCAACAATCAAACATTATATCTGCAGTCCATGATAACTGTAAAGTACAAAGAGTTAATCAAGAGAACATTATGTTTACAGTGATTTAGATAACTTTCTATCATCACAGAATGAAGCCTGGCAGCCGAATTAACATAAAAACATAACCTAGCAAAGGTTCATATTGTGTACTGGTTAATACTTCGTAGAAGTTGCAGTTACTCTTAGAATTGCACCATAAGGCTGGCTGGGGAATTCTGGGAGTTGAAGTCCGCCCACCCTAAAGGGGCCTAGGTTGAGAAACACACAATGACAGAAGAAGTAAAAAAATAATAATTCCAACCTTCTTTTTCCTTTTTGCAGAAATATCCTGTATTGCCATATTTAGTTTTAGTATTGAAACAGTTCTTATTGCAAAGGGACCTCAATGAAGTATTCACAGGTGGAATTGGATCCTATAGTCTTTTTTTAATGGCCGTCAGCTTCCTCCAGGTAAGTTAAAATTATTTCCTGACCGTTTATGAGTTTTGTGTCCTAATTGTTGCATATCCCTTATTGCTCATAATCAGAAGGGGTATTCACCAGGTTCTGACCAGTTCTGGAGAACCGGTAGTGGAAATTTTGAGTAGTTTGGAGAACCGGCAAATCCCACCTCTGACTGGCCCCGCCCCCATCTCTTCTCTGCCTTCCATTGAGTCCCAGCTGGTCGGCTGGTTCTCCTTTTGTTGCCCTACACAGGAGAACGGAGCTGGAAAGCAGGTTAGTGGGGTGGGGAGGGAATAGGGATTTTGCAGTAACCTTTTCCCAGGAGTGGGGAGGGAATGGAGATTTTACAGTATCCTTCCCCTGCCATGCCCACCAAGCCACATCCACCAAGCTACATCGTGCCCACAGAGCCGGTAGTAAAAAAAATTTAATCCCACCACTGCTCATAATGGTACAGAATTCAAGTTTTTTTTTAAAAAAAAGCAATTGGAGGAGGAAGGTGAGTTGTATATGTTCGCTGTCTTGAATTATTTGTAAAAATAATAAAGGGAGGAAATAAAGAAATAATAAAAGTTTAGCATCATCAAAAAAGCACCATCGTAATTTGATGGAGTTAGGTTTAGAACAGCCACTAAAATCGCTGCTGCCATCAGCTGAGCACAAACAAATGTTCCATTAGGAACTTTGCATAGATAGACTGGAAGTATCTATGGAGGTTCTCAGCCATCCAAGTCATGGTTGTCCCAAAAGAGCTTTTTTTAAAGAAGCCACTGGACATCCTTGGGTTTTTTCCTTGAAGACGTTGCGCTTCTCATCCAAGAAGCTTCTTCAGCTCTGAAGAAGCTTCTTGGATGAGAAGCAAAACGTCTTCAAAGAAAAACCAGAAAGTCCAGTTGCCTCCCGAAAAAAGCACCTTTGGGATAAACTGGGGGCTTTTGAATTTACCGGCTTGCTGTCTTGAGGTATCCTATCGAGGAGGTTGGAAAATGCGTTTTACGCTGCAAGGTTTTTTCCTTTCCCGGGTGGGCTTTTCCATTTCATGGACCTCGTTCAATTGTCGAATGGGATGGTCCAGAAATTTGAAGATGGTTTTTTTTTTTTTTTTCCCCCGCTCAACCCCTTTTGCTTGTTTCCACAGCTACATCCCCGGGGGGATGCCTGCACCCCCAATGCCAATTACGGCGTCCTTTTAATAGAATTTTTTGAATTATATGGCCGTCATTTCAACTACCTGAAAACGGGAATCCGAATCAAGGATGGGGGTTCCTACGTCGCCAAGGATGAAGTTCAGAAGAATATGCTAGATGGTTACAGACCATCAATGTTGTATATTGAAGACCCACTACAACCAGGTATCGGGGTTTTGCGTTGGGTGTGGGAAGGTTTCTGATGCACAGAGTAGAAGCCATTGAAAATACTTTGCTCCCTGATATTTTCTCTCTGGGTTGATTTATTCATCATTTGCTAGTATAATGGCATGATTTTTGAGCATACTGCCAGGTTATAGTTGTCTGGTTTGGTTCTGCAACCCAGCAAGACAGACACAGACTTCAGAGAGTAATTAGGACTGCAGAAAAAACAATGGCTACCAACCTGCCTTCCACTGAGTACCTGTATCCTGCATGAGTCAAAAAGAGGGCTGGGAAAATATCTACAGACCCCTCACATCCCGGACAGAAACTGTTTTAATTCCCACCCTCAAAACGACGCTTGTGTCTAGTTATTCTGCACACCAGAACAACTGGACACAAGGACAGTTTTTTTCCCGAATACCATCACTCTGCTAAACAAATAATTCCCTCAACACTGTCCAACTATTTACAGAGTCTGCACTACTATTACTATTAATCTAATCACTCCTTATCACCCATCCCCTCCCACTTGTGACTGTATGACTGCAACCTTGTCGCTTGTATCCTTACGATTTATATTGACTTGTTTCCTAGTATGTTTGATTGCTTATTTGTACCCTATGACTATCATTAGGTATTGTACCTTATGGTTCTTGGCTCTTGATGAATGTATCTTTTTTTTTTATGTGCACTGAGAGCATTTGCACAAAGACAAATTCCTTGTGTGTCCAATCACACTTGGCCAATAAAGTATTCTGTTCTGTTCTATTCTATTCTATTCTATTCATAGACTTAAAAATTAAGTTCTAAGATATGAAGATATCTTTTTTTCTTTAAAGGCAATGATGTTGGAAGGAGTTCTTATGGCGCCATGCAAGTGAAACAGGCCTTCGATTACGCATATGTAGTTCTGAGCCATGCCGTCTCCCCGATAGCTAAATGTTACCCCAACAATGAAAGCGAAAGGTAAACATTGGAGAGTTCAATCAGAGGCCTCACTGACTTCATCCTTTTTTTCCTGCTTTCAAATCCAGTAATCTTTTTTTTTCTCCCCCAAACAAAATGTCACAGTATATTAGGAAGAATAATCCGAGTTACGCAAGAAGTTGTGACGTACAGAGAATGGATATCCAAACAGTGGGGAATCCAGAATAATGCAGAGACGTCGTGCAATGGTAAGAGACTTTAAAAAGTTCTGGCAGCAATATTTCAGAGACATAGGTAGTCCTTGAGTTATGACTAATGCAGCTTGCCTTTGATAGCAATAGCACTTAGATTTATGTACCACTTCACAGTGCTTTCCAGCCCTCTCTAAGCTGTTTACAGAGTCAGCCTGTGGCCCCCAACAATCTGGGTCCTCATTTTATCGACCTCGGAAGGATGAAGGCTGAGTCAACCTTCAGCCTGGTGAGATTCGAACTACCAAATTGCAGGCAGCCAGCAGGCAGCAGAAATAGCCCGCAGAACTGCACTCTAACCACTGCGCCACTGAGGCTCATGATTCATGAAACACGTTGGTCACATAATCGACCTGATTTTTCAGCAATTAAAAGGCTCACAGTTTTGATTTTTAAAACAAGCTACTGAGCCCCTTACATTACAGAAAGAACCATGGAATAACAACAGCTAAGTCTGCAAAAAAACAGTTTGCCTGATAGTAACCTGATGCTGGCAAATAATAAAGTGGTTGTGTAATAATATAAGAGGAATCAAAAGCCATTTGGCCTACTGTTAAGTTATTCCCAAATATTCTGAACAGCATTAAGCTGGATTGGACATGGAAAGCGAGCAGTAGATTTTTTTTTTAAAAAACAGCTGGATCCCAAATGGCTCAAGCTATAAATTATTAAAGTTGAATTTATGGACCTGTTTGGAAACAGCTCCATTCATCCCTGTACGAGCCACTTCTGATGCAATGCTTCCTTCCCTGCACGAAAATTTAAAGGAAGATTTCTTTTATTAAGCTTTGGGATTGTTTTCCTCCAAAAGAAGCATTTTAATAAAATAAAATAAAACACTCTTGTATTGGAAATATATATGTGTGGACGGAAGAATAGTGATGCCGATTCCTTCGGATTCGTGGAACCAGGGGGAAAAATCATGATTCTAAATAATTTATGAAACCCCTTTAAATACGACAGGAAGACAGGAATGACTTCTGAATAAACAAAGGACAAGCACAAATCAGTGGAAAGCCAGATGTTTTCAAGCAGGTTTTATAGGTTTGAGCTCCTGTAAGGAGGAAAGAAGAATGCAAAGTCCAAAGATAAATCTTCATTAACCGAGATGCAGAGAAATACTTTTCCACATAGTTGGATATTTATGGAGAAGAGTTGCTGATTTAAACAGCACATGGCAGGGCAGATAAACTCTCAGAGCCTGGAAGAGTCTGGCCATTCTTAGACAGTTACAAAAGATCCTCATTAAACTGACATTGGGAAACATCCTTTTTACATGAAGTGGGCAAATTGTTATGCATTCTCTAAAAGCGTCTGTTCTTGTTGGAAGTACAGGTTGTCCTCGGCTTACCTGTTACGGCCACCATTGGGCCCCCAAATTAATGTTGCTAAGCAAGACAATTTTTTAAGTGAGTTTTGTTCCATTTGAAGAGCTTTCTGGCCACCGTTCGTTAAGTGAATCCCTTCCGGGGTTAAGTTGGTAACCCGGTTGTTAAGTGAATCTGGGTCTCCCCATTGACTTCGCTCGTCAAGAGGATCGCAAAAGTTGATCCCATGACCTCGGGACACCGCAAGCATCATAAGTATGGGCCGATCGCCAAGCGGCTGAATTTTGATCACATGACCACGCTTAACAATGGTTGTAACTATGAAAATTAAGGATAAAGAGGAAACAGAGTATTATTTAACGTGGGACTTGTTTTGTAAATGTTTAGAAAATAGGAGCAGAAGTTAATAATTTATAATTAAGGATGATCAGTAAAATAGAAGGATAGATAGATAGATAGATAGATAGATAGATAGATAGATAGAGATATACGCAATAATACCATAAACAATATTATCACTGGATTATATTTGATTATAGATTAAATCGTATAGGGCACTTAGAAGTGAAGATTGTATTGTATATATTATAAGAACAATGGTTATAATTATGGTGTGTATAATATGTGCATTCAAAAGAGATTTGATACAGACAGTATATATATATACACACACACACACACACACACACACACACTCCTCCTTTATTGTGAAATAGTGCTTACTCTCCATTCCTCCTTTGTCCTTAGGTAACGGAGTAACATTAATAGTGGATAATCAACAGCTGGACAAATATAACAACAATCTTTCTGAAGAGAACCAGTCACAAGGAAAACCGAGAAGTAAAACTTTGGAGACCCCAAGCAAACATTCATCAAACTCTTCCTCAGGCCCTTTGTCCTCATCGTCATCCACGCTCTCCAGCTCCAGCGATGTGGTAAGTGTCAACGTCCCCCAATAAAATTCAGTTGGGACTACCGCACCGCTGCCTCTAAATGCCTGAGGGTCAGGTTTTCTCAAACGTTGCCACTTTTAAGACGTTACGGATCTCAACTCTCAGCCCTGAGGAATTCTGAGACTTGAAGTCCACACATCTTAAAAAGTTGCCAGAGGTTGAGAAGGTCTGTGGAGATTCTCCTTCCTTCAGGTCATGGTTGCCCCAAAGGTGCTTTTGTCAAGAGGCAACTGGACTTTTCTTGTTTTTTTTCTTGGAAGAAGTTTCGCTTCTCGTCCGAGAAGCTCCTTCAGCTCTGACTGGATGGTGAGGAATGGAAGGATTTATATTCCTTGTAGACAGCTGGTCATTTGCATCCTTTTTGAGAATCGTTGAGGTCACCTGGAAGTTTATCGCTGGGTCACTTGAGTAGTGCAAAATAGTTCCTTTAGGCTGGATTTCCAGAAAAAAATGCAGACCACAGGAACCATTTGCACTACTCAGGTGACCCTGAACACACAGATAAACCTCCCAAGTGGTCTCAACGGCTCTCTAAAAAGGATGCAAATGACCAGCTGTCTGCAAGGAATATAAATCCTTCCATTCCCCACCATCCAGTCAGAAAAATCGGCACGGAAAAGGAATCTTTCCGCATCTATTTTATTCACCATCCGATTTTTTGAATCGTGACCCAATTCAAAAATCGGGTGGATTTTTTTTGTTCGGCACCCGATTTGGCCGCGAACAGGAGCGTTCACGACCCGAGGTTCCACCGTATCTACATTTCAGACGTGATTCGATTTACATTGATATATTGATTTGCTTAATGACCATCAAGGTTGCTTAATGTCCACCGCCCCCCCAAAAAAGGGGGGGGAGTAAAATCAGGCCCGTTCCTTAAACGCCTCAGCTTACGACCGTCATGGCTAAAAACGATGGAAATTCCAGGCTCCGTTTCAGCCGTAAGTCGAGGACAACCTGTGTTTTGACAGAATTCCGGTACCCGCATGTCGTTTTGAAAGGTGCTGAAATGCTTCCCGTTATGTCAAAAGATGGCATCATCCCTTCTGCTCCTTCCTCCTCCGCAGGAGTCGGACGGCACCCCATGCAAAACCTCAAAGCAGCTGGGCTCCTGCCAGACTTCGGCAAACCGATTGGTCCCTCAGGAGATCTCCCTCGGGTCCTCTCAGCTGAGCGGCAAAATGCCAAGTAGCCAAACCGTGAACGCATCCAATGTGACAAATAAGTCCCAGGTCGGTATGGCCCCAGGTTCAAACAATCTTGGTTCCCCTCAAGAGTATCTGAAGCCCGTCCAGTCCTGGGATTCCCCCCCTGCCCTGGAACTAGGTTAAGAGCTCTAGAAACACTGGAACCGTGTTAGTGATGGCTAACCTTTTCGGCACCAAGGGGCCCAAATCCCCAAAATGCAATGCGTGCGCGCGCCCCTGCACATGCACCCAAACCCTCACGTATCTGAGTGCGCCCCACACACATGCACATGCACGTCCCATGGATGGACGCCATCCCTGACCCATGCGCCCCACCCTCCACATGTACCCCACGCATGCGGAGCGGAGACCCGAAGACCAGCTGGCTGGCGGGAGGTGCGTATGCGCAGCAGAGCTGAGCTGGGCTGATGGCTAGCGTGCCCACAGAGAGGGCCCTGCCACCTCTGGCCATGTGTACAGAGGTGGGATTCAAAATTTTTAACAACTGGTTCTGTGGGCGTGGCTTAGGTGGTGGGCGTGGCTTGGTGGTCATGTGACTGGGTGGACATGGCTTGGTGGTCATGTTATTGGCTGGGCGTGGCCAACTCAATATCACTCACATCGAGGCACGCATCTCCTCGCCTGGCCTCTCATGACTGTGGGGATGCTGCAACAGTCGTAAGTGTGAAAAATGGTCCTAAGTCACTTTTTTCAGTGCCATTGTAACTTTGAATGGTCACTCCAAACAAGCAAAGTACCAGCAAAGGAGGGGGAAAAAAACCTCCAGAGAAGTTCCTGAGACAGGAAGTCTAGTCCTGCCAAGAATATAATAAGGGTTAACGGAGAGGCAGTTTCTGTAAGCAACACCAGAATGTTTCCTTCCTGCCTTCCTTACAGGATTAGGCCAGTAATTTCTTCTAACAACCGGTTCTCCGAACTGCTTAGAATGTTAACAACCAATTCTAGCGAATAGGTGCGAACTGGTAAAATCCCACCCCTGCATGCATGTCATAGGTTTGCCATTGGGGCACTAGAACATTGTGCTTAAACGCAGCTTGGGATGACTTAAGCCTGCATTCTGGGAATAATTGCGGTCCCCCGTCCCCCTACTTCCCACTAAGAAAAATTGAGCTGAACTGAGCCTTGGTCATCTCACTCTTTTAATATGTGATGCGAACAGTTGGATGAACACCCTTAAATTCATTTTATTAGGTTGTTTTTAAATCCCGCCTTGTATTACTTTATAAGCACCTCAACGTGGTGAACAATACCTAATACGCCTCCTCCTGTTTTCCCCACAGCAACTCTGTGAGAAGAGTCGCTTTGTAGAGGGAAATTTATAATTAAATGATAAATTTAATAAAGTAAATAATTTCGGCTGAAAGAGAGCGATTGCCTCAAATTCATCCAGCCAGCTTTCATGCCTAAGGCAGGACTAGAACTCGCCATCTCCTGGTGTTTGGCCCAAAGTCACCCAGCTGGCTTTCACACCTTAAATGAGACTAAAACTCCCAGTTACCTGGTGATTGGCCCAAAGTCAACCAACCAGCTTCCACGCTTAAGGCAGGACTAGAACTTAACCATCTCCTGATGATTGGTCAAAGTCATCCAGCCAGCTTACATGCCTACAATGGCACTAGAACTCCCAGTCTCCTAGTGATAGGTCCAAAGTCACCCAGCCAGCTTTAATGCCTAAGTCAAGACTAGAATGCACCATCTTGGGTGATTGGCCCAAAGTCACCCAGCTGGCTTTTACACCTAAAATGGGACTAGAACTCCCAGCTACCAGGTGATTGGCCCAAAGTCACCAACTGGCTTTCATAACCTAAAGCAGGACCAGAACTCTTACAGGCTCCTAATGTTTTGACCAAAGTCACCCAGCCGGCTTTCATGCCTAAGGTCTAGAACTCCCCATTTCCCAGTTTCTAGCTCGTACCTTCCCCACTAAGACCCAGTTGCTCTCTTAATGCCATTTGCTTTTGTTACGGAGCAGGTCTTCACCCTCTCTCTCTCTCTCTCTCTGTCTCTACTTTTCTACCCCACAGCACGGATCCATGAGGCTCTTGCGCACTTCTTCTTCCAACAAAAGCATCCAAGGTCCAGGAAATTCCAGCCATGGTACCTTGGTGACGAACAAACAGTACCAGGGCACTAAGCCACAACCATTTTACCACGGGAAAAAAAGGAAACACAAGAGGGACGCTGCGCTTTCAGAGTTATGTAGATAGTTTTCCTATCTCGACGGTTGGACTTCTTTCCCTCCCCTCCCCTGTGTGCAATGCTCTCTCATGCTACGAGAATTAACTTGGACAAAACGATTTCCAAGATCCTTCTGGAGTCTGAAGACTGTTGGAACGTTGATTAGCAACGCATTTTAGTTTTAGTTTATTTTTTTAAATTTGTTTTTTCCAGCTCGCCACGAAAAAAAACGATCATGAAGACTGAATAACTGCAAAAAATATATATATATATATAATAAAAAATAAAAAGTGGGTGGGAGGGAGGAGGAGGAGGAAGAGGACAAGGCTGCTTCTCCAGTAAATCATATGCTACAACAGGGTTGTTTAGATATATAAAAAGCTTGAATGTAAAATAAATATATCCCATCAGCTTTGGGAGCTGACTTCTAGGGGTAGATAATAGTGTATTTAAAGGTTTGGTAATTAACTGAAATAAAACAAAAGGATTTAAAAAAAAACAAAAACAAAAATACAAAAAAACCCAGGAGGAAAATGTAATTTGAGGGCAATCCAAAGTTCAAAAAAGAGAGTGAATCCTCGCATGATAATTTTAAAAATTATTTTTTTTTGCAAACGTCCGCCATTTTATTGTGTATATATATATGACCATAGGGCAAATTTGACCATTTGTAATAGTGGATTTGTTAAATACTTTCTACATAACATTTACCGTTTTAAATTCATAGAAAAAATTTCTTCCCCTCTCCCCGACGATGCGTTTTCATTGAAAAAACAACCTCAACAAAAGTACCGAGAGCTGAATTGTCATCTGAACAACGGACAAATGTAGCGAATGATTAACAGTTCAGCATTTTGTGATGTTTTTTTTTCCCTTTCAGCATTGAAATCATTTAATAGCACATTGACCTGAGAGGGCACAAATTGGTTCTCCGAAGGAAAAAAAAGGAAAAATAATCAAAAGAAGAAGATCGATGCCAGGGCAAATGCTTGTTTATAAAATATACAAATACCATCTATTGTCAACTCTGATCTTGCATTCCACTCTGGGGAAGGAAAACAAAAACAGACTTAAAATTCTCTTTTTTTTTTTTAAAGTGCCATCATCACTCAGGCGATGGGATATTCCAGGTTAGCTTTCATGGGAAATCATGGTTTGTTTGCTTTCAAAATAGGAAACCCAGTTAACTTTATTAAAGGAAGGGATATGTGTTGCTGAGTTAAGGGGGACAAAACTCAGCCTGTTGATGACCTCTGTATTTTAAGTCTTCCTTGTAAAATCCCTCTGATGTGTTTCCACATGCGTTGGGCTACAATTTTCATTACACTTAATGCTGGCTGAGGCAATGAGAGTTGTAAATCAACATTTTTGTTTTTAAAAAAGCACTAGATTGGGGGAAAGGTGGTGTAATTCCAATTTTATTTTATTTTTCTGCATGCTTTTATCCTGAATTTCTTTTTTTAAAGAAAAAAAATTTCCCTTCTCTTGCAGCTTTATAGCTTTCCCTTTAAAAAAGAAAAAGTAAGGAGAATTGTTAATGCACATGGTTGAATTGTTTTCTTTTCTCTTTTAAGAAAAAAAAAAAAACCTGAATGTTACCTCATTCCCTTTTCAGAGATTTTTTTAAATCCACCCTTAAAGAGAGAATTAAAAGAGTCTCCAATAATGGGACGGCATCGTCTAGTGCTGTTTAAAGGGGCAACAAGCCGTGTTAATTCTTCCTGAAATTCTCCCACTTCCTAAGATGGTTTCCTAGCTCAGGCAGGCCTTGGATTTTAAGACAGAAGTGGAAATTTGTGTTGTGAATGCAGAATGGAAGGAGTTGAATCGCAGTCACTTGCTTTATCTGAAGAAAAGGAAAAAAAAAAACACAGACAAAGGAGCACTTTAATGGATAGAATGTAAAAGTGACGTTTACTGTAACTTTTTATTTTATTTTTCTTTATAAAGAGGAAAGTGTGTATTCCGAATGTAAGATTATTGGGTGTATGTGGTCTGGAGAATGAAGACAACTCCTTTTCTTTCCCAGAGAAATACTGATTTTTAGATGTTTTCTTTTATAAATCGCAGACCAACCTGAAGTTGGCACTCGGTAAAGTGCAAAAGCTTTTAAAGTAAATAATAATTATAATAATGCAACACGACCAAAAACTGTCATGACTGAAAAATAATAATAAAATAACGCTAGATGATAAAGCATTTTGACTTCAAAGCACAGAAAGGGGAGGGAAAAATAAAATTCAAAATACCTTAATGGTCTAAAACCCCAGGCATTTTTTAAAAATTTGAAAAAAGGTGTTAACTTGACAGAGTTTTAGTTATGTTTTGTTCCAATCACTTTTTTAAAAAAGCCAAACGCCTTTCGTGAACTAGAATTTGTCACAAGGATTCACATTATGCATTATCAGAATATTTATTTGGAGTTAAAACATACGTTTTATAACTGTGGGCCTACCCTTACACTCTGTTTTGGGAACAAAATTCTAAATTATTTTTAATCCAGTATTATTATTATCAGCTGCCATTTTAAAATGCTGTTACAAATGTAATACACCAGTCTGTATTACTGCACCACACTCAAGTTTTTTATTCAATTTTTCGGAAAATCGCCCTCTTCCTTGGAAATAGGTGCCTATCAGGTTGCAGAGATTGGTGTTCCAATAAGCATGTGATTATTTTAATGTGGTGGTAGCGGGAAGATAATCTTGATTCCATTGGGAATCTTAGGTTTGTCTCAATTTATGGTTTTCATAAATTTTAATGGAAAAATAGCTTTTCCTGGACTGCTCAAGTTTCATTTTGTAAACAGTATCTTTCTAACAGAAGAAGAAGAAGAAGAAAAAAAGCATGAAGGAAAAAATTGAGGAATTTTACTTGCCTCAAATAACCAGCATTGGTATTCATGAAACACATGTATATCTAGCAAATCTTTATTTAAACCGAACAGTTGAACTGTTCATCTTTTTTCAATCTGAAGTTAAAAAACAAAATCACTTTCAGTACCTTTTTAATTTTTGCCTGCTCATTTATCTTGTACACTTCATCTCTGTATTCAATTCAAATCTAATTCCTTTTTTGAGTTTCAATACTTTTTTGTGAAAAATTTTGTGAAATATATATATATAAAAATAAATGTTTCAACAACGTTTTATCATTCATGGCATCTATTTTCTGTTTTAAGGCATGTGATATTTTTTTTTCCTCACCACTTTTTATTTTACCAACCAACTTTCCAAAATGACCAAATTAACCATTGATAGACTTATAGCTTGGATGTTGAATAGCAGAATTTCCCATCTCAAAAAATACAAAACCTGTTGATGAAAACTTGATCTACTGGGCAAAGGTGTCCTAAGGGAACATTAAAAGAATATGTGCCCCTTATGTAGTTGTCTTAACTTTACTGGGAATTGGGGGTGAAATGACAGAAATGTTTCTGCTCCAAGTTTGAAACAAGAAAGCACTCTCAAAATGTCATTTTAGAATTGCTGTGAGGTCCTTGGTGCTCTCTGAGCTTGGAGCTTTTCTTGCAGATGTTTCATTACCAACTAGGTAACATCAGTGCCAACACTGATGATGTTACCTAGTTTGGCAATGAAACGTCTGTGAGAAAACCAGGCTCGGAGAGCACCAAGGACCCCAAAGTTCAACGCTGAGCTGCAAATCTATAACATCTGGGTTGTGTCTGAATCTTACAAGTTCAAATGCTCTGTTCCAACCTTATGACAGAATTCTCACCACAGTCAAAAGTTTCTTCGAGCTCTTAAAATGGGAACACTTGCAATACCTACATTTTGCAAAGTAGTTTTGAGTTTGAAATATCCTCTATATCCCAACTTGGTATACTTAATTTAACTTTTATCAATAAAATCTACAGTCCTCTTCCAGCACACCAGTTCCTAAGCCATTTACGTTGTAGTTTTCCATCCAGGCTGTTGTACGTTCTGCTTTCTACTGATTTCCTACCGATTGTTAGTGCTCTGCCCAACTTTTCCCTGACCAATAACCCTACTCTCAAAATGATGGGGACAAGAGAACCAATTTTGACGGGATTGCATGCATAAAGTAAAATATCTGATTAAATTTCAGTCGCACATTACATGTCGTGTGAAAACTTACCCAAAAAAACAAAAAACAAACCTTGGCTAGCAATTTCTGGAAGAGTTGTCCGTTTGATGGTGATCCAACTTGGCTGGGCTGGGCCATAGTTGCAGAAAAGGTATGTAGAGTATAGAGATTGACTTACTTGGAGGCTAAATCCATTAGCCGGGGGGGGGGGGGGGTGTGTATCATTTTTGTTTTGCTTTTTTAACCAGCTTTTAATTCCGCTATGGTAATTTGCAATGGGAAGCATTTTGCACTTGTCCCTGGCCTAGCCTTTCATTGCTGATACATTTGCAAAATTCCAGTTCTTTTGCTTTTTTTTTTCTCCCTCCCCATGTCTGCCATGGGAGGAAACAGCCCACACATTTCAGTGGAGGAGTGAATGGAATTGGTCCTTCCTTTGAAGTCAAGGGTGTATTTCTCATCCCAGAGAAAGGGGTGTTTGGCCAGCGAGGAACAGTATAATCATGAGTCTGTTTGCAGATCCAATAAACAGAGGAAAGCAAAAATTCACTGTTGCTTCACATAGCTTTTGGGTAGATGTTTCAAATCCCACTCCTGGCTGGTCCCACCCACCCCCGGTCCTTCCTTCCCAAAGCCTCCGGCCCCCCTCCCCACTGTGGTGCAGGAGGCCGACCAGGCCATGCCCCATCATGGTCATGGCCACCCAGCAACCCAACACTAAAATCTTTGAAGCCCACCCCTGTGTATCCTGGTTGAAAAGATAACTGACCCATGTCACCCAAAGGGCGAGGTATGTCATTTCAAACTAGCCTCCTCCCAAGAAACCCCCATCAAATAAGCTGTGCAGTTTGTGATAAACCAACGTTTATGTATCTGCAGTTTAAACTGTCCCAAAGGTGCTTTTTTCAAGAGGCAAGTGGACTTTCTTGGTTTTTCTTTGAAGAGGTTTCGCTTCTCATCCAAGAAGCTTCTTCAGCTCTCCATTCCCCCATCATTCAGTCAGAGCTGAAGAAGCTGCTTGGATGAGAAGCAAAACGTCTTCAGAGAGAAAAACCAAGGAAGTCCAGTTGCCTCTTGGGAAAAACTGTGACCTGGAGGACTGAGAATCTCAACAGATATACAGTATGAACTGCAAACTAGCCAAGATCTTTGTCTTGCGGATGAATAGGCCATCCAAACCTAAAAGTTAATTGAATGAATGAGCAGCATATCTGGATTTGTAAAATGAAGAACAGGAGTTTTCAAAATGGGCCGTCCCAGGAGGTCACAGGTCAACGCACCTGGCTTTCTGTCTTACAAAATGGCTGCTTGATCAAACATCAATCGCTAAGCTCTGTCTGTGAGAGAAAGAATGCTCCCAAAAACCTACATTGTGAAGATAATAATAGTAATAACACTCTGGCAATCTCCTGATAGCACAGAGGCATGTGGCTTCCATTCCCTTTTTGGCAATTAATCCATCTTCCAAGAGCAACCCAATCTAATTTGAGTTTTTTAAAAATACTAAAGAGATGAGACAGAACCTAATGCACTAAAATACTTGCAATGTTTGCAATAGTGGTGAATATCTGTAGCTCGGGTGTAGGATCATGTGGATGAAGATTGGTTCTCCAAACTTGTGGATTGGTTTCCCAACTTTCTGGACCAAGCTAGGTAAGCGGGAGTTTAGAGGACCTGTAATGTCCTTGGCTGACCAACAGGTGGTGCTGGTCCATTAAAATTACAGAAAGAAACAAGAGCAGATTTTTTGCTTCAAATTAGATTTCTCTAAAAGTTTTTTTTTTTAAAAAAAAAAATCTGGCAAGGGATCTAACATTACGCAGAACGCCCTACCTGTTCAGAGTAATAATTACAGGAGACTAACTGATAACCTGATTGTAACTTTTTTTCCCCTTGTGTTCAATTTTGTCTGATTGCCTGGACGAGCTGCTGCAGTTTCCTTGGCAAGGTTTTTCAGAAAGTGGTTTGCCATTGTCTCCTTCCTAGGGTTGAGAGAAAGGGGCTGGCTCAAGGTCACCCAGCTGGCTTTGTGCCTAAGGTAGGACTAGAACTCATAGTCTTCTGGTTTCTTAGCCTTAGCTATTAGCCTAAACAGGCGCTGCCTCTCTGCTCTTCTACAATCACCGTTCGAATCAGCAAACACCCCGGAGAGACAAAAATACATCAGCAATATGCTTGTAGAAGGCAGTACATAGACAAGTTCATTTTAACTTAAAAGCAATGCATAAAGGTTACTCAGCCCTGTTCCCAAGGTAACAGCCGCAGTCCAATTACCTCATTAAAAAAATGGCTTTATAGCAATGAACCCCTTCGTCTGAAGTGTGTCCAGTTTAGTAAAAACAGAAAGGACGATTTATTTAAGTGACAAGAGGAGTCTGCCTATTATTTAATCTCAAGCCAACTGTGCGGATGTTGCAATGGTTGTAAGTGTGAGGACTGGTCGTAAGTCACTTTTTTCAGTGCCATTGAAACTTCAAACGGTCACTAAACGGATTGTAGTAAGTCAGAACTAATGTACTGCATCATTCTGGAGATCCAACTTTTGTGTATTTGTGGTCAATCTCAATCTAACCGTGATAAACTTGTCCTTTGTAATTTATGGGCCGGAGTTATAAGTAAAGTAAGGGCAGTGGCCTAGAGGTGGAGCTCTCGTCTTACAGTCAGGAGGCTGTGAGTTCAATTCTAGGTAGAGGCCAATATTTCTCTCTCTCTGAGCACAATGAGAATACATCTGCTGAACAAAACTCCGCATTGGCGACCAGGAAAGGCATCCGGCCAGTTAACACTTCACTCCA